GAAAGTCGTTCACCCAGCTAGTTTCAGAACGGAAAAGTCAATTGTACAACTGAATCTCATACACAAAAGATTCACCAGGATGTTTGTGTGTGCGTGTGCATATTAATAATTCGTTCTTCTGTATTTCCCATGAATGTTGGCCACAAATGAACTTTGAATCTTGCCACTGTTGGTGAATTACGACTATTTCATCAATCGGTTTTTTTTCAAATCGGAATTTTATGATCCAGGCTAATGAAACTAGTGCCTGTTACTTTCGGTGTCATGGGGGAATTAGCTGTGGCCAATCTAAGCGCAGCGGATAGAGTGTTCCCTCTTTCTTTTGTAACACATCAGCAGTGTGTATTATCTGGTGGCCTCGGCCAGTCCTACTCTACGGTGCAGAGACTTGGTCACTAAGGGAACAGGATAAAAATAGATTGACGGTGTTCGAACACCGCTGTCTACCCAGCATTGCACGTGTCTGGTGGGGTAACCGGACTAGCAATGCTGAGGTTAGCCGTGGAGTTTTAGGCAGTCGCGGTCGTCCACTAGAGTAAGTGATCAACCTCCATAGATTACGCTGGTTGGGACATGTGTTACGTATGTCACCAGACAGATTGCCGCGGCGAACGATGTTTGCCAAGGCTGGTAGCGATTGGAATAAGATAAAGGGTGGTCAAACTAAGACCTGGCATAATAGTATGAAAACCCTAGTCAAACCGAAGAAGATACAGAGTAGAAAAAGCCAAGGGTGGTCAAGTTAAGACCTGGCACGAGGGTATGAAAACCCTAAGCAGGTAAAGCCAAGGGTGGTCAAGCTAAGACCTGGCACGAGGGTATGAAAACCCTAACCAGGAGGCTAGGTCACATACGCCCCGTTAGGCTCCCTGGCTGGGGACCTCGGGATGATGGTCACCGATGGTTAGCTACACAAACAGTGGCAAACAGTGGCGCTCGTGCATCCACTCGTTTTTCTCCTAACACCGCGCTATATGAATTTCCCACCTTTCGCTTGAATTTGCTTCGATATTCCAATCTTCACTTCGCTCTTTTATCCAAATGGGTAACCAAAACCAGCGCACGAAAGTGCACGGTTAATGGTTGTAAAAACTGAAACTGGTGGCCTCATCTCTCCCCATCACAAAATTTCACTGCCACTAGATTGGACAATAGAAATACCGAAACGGCAATGGTGGTTTTGATAATGCAAATTCGTGTACGCATGTTTTAAACAAGTCAGTTGTGAAATTCGATAATTCTGTGACATTTTTGTTTGTGTCCTGCTGCCAGGTAGCAGGACGGGAATGCATACTGTCGTGTTTGGTGCAGTGTGTGATTCTCACGGTGCTTGTAGTAGAAAACGAAATGAAATATTATCCATTAAGTGCATTTGATGGTAGCCGACTTAGGGGAGAGAGAAGGAGAGAATCAAAATCAGTAGTTTGAAATACAACACAGAATGGACAAAAAGGGGATAAACAAGTAGACAAATAGATTAATTGACTACTATTTGACTTACTTACCATGATTGTCTTAATCACTTGATCCATATTTCGCACTTTACCGAATAGACTTCTACAAAGCACAGTGTTAGAAAACATAATAACGGGGTATTTTGAGAAGAAAAAAAATGTCTGATCTGAAATAGATAAAAAGCAAATACCAGATGACTTGAAATCACTCTGCTATTATCGTAATAACGAGATTGAAAATGGTCCATACCAACTAGTAGTTGAAATTAGTGCCAAGGTGTCACGTTTGAATACCCTTGGCAGTGTTATGTGAAGAAGATAGCGTAGTATTCATAACCTTTGTTTTCTATTTGCCCAGAATAAGTGACTAGTATATCAGCCATGACATGAGGTTTTCCGAGACCAGCACTTTGAACAGTAGGGTGTTCAAAAATCCCTTCTTGTTGCTGTTGTTATTCTTTAGACTAGTAAGTTACTTTTGGCATCTCCACCCACTCCTCCCATGTATCGGACAGAAATGTGTGGAATTCCTTGTGGAATATCGTATTTCTCTCCTGCCCAATTGAAGTAGTCGAGCTGAGATCAATTACGCTCGCTTATACAGTTTCCGAAAAAAAATGTAGATCATTTGCATCAGGCAGTTGTGTGCCACGTTTTCACTCTTGTCCGATGTCGGATTATGTTCTTTCAATTTGCCCAATCACATTTTGCTTCACTCTTCTCGTGGAACTGAGTGGGATCATTCAAACAACAGTCAGCTGGTGTAATGGTTAATAGTACACTAGTTGGTTCAGGTGAGAAGTGAAACAAAATTGTAAAAGAAAACTGCTTGGTGATTTTTTTTATTGCTGACAAGATATTGCAGATTTGGACCGTACAAGCAACTCGCATAGGTCCTGATTATCCAGATTGTCAGTGCCAACAGAGTGTACTGACAAGATTTCTAAACTCCCATGATATTAAATCAATCATTAAACATACTGTTCATTTGATTTCCATTCGCTCAATATTACTATGATTCATCTCTTTACACTCTAACTACCATCACAAAACTGGATAAAACATAAAGATATTGGTTTCAATGAATAAGCCAAAACAATCAGACCCAGACGGAAAACAAAATCAATCAAAATGGGAACAAAAACAAAAAAACAAAAAAAAACAAAAAAACAAAAAAAACAAACCGAATGATTCCGAGAATAAATTCACTGGCTTTTCGTGCTTTCATGGAAGCCGAGAGTTCCTGGGCTCGGACAATGCGGTATACAAGGTGACGCGCAGCGTTCCGGGTTCCGGATGCCGAAGGACATGCGGGGTTCGCAAAACCAAATAAACACACATGCATGTAAACCGATGTGGTACATTTTCAGATAAATTATAGTTGATCCCCACATATGGACAGATGCATGAGATCAACCAGCACTTCCGGTCAGTGTAATTATTGCACTGGATAACTCGATTCCGGTAGAATGAGAAATGTTACGAACCGTAGAATACTTGTCAAAAACCCGCCCGACACGGGACGAAAATGCATAAATTAGTCTGATGAAATGAATTCTACGGTACCCAACTGGAAACTCTGCACGTGGTAGTATTATAATTACACAAGGCGATGCTTGGTCGGGGATAGTTGTTGGTTACAGATTACGGTTAAGATATCAATAAGTTGGTATATACAAAACAGAAAAGTCACACGGAGCCGGATCTGGATTATACGGTGAGCGATAAACCTCCTGGATGTGTTCCTAAGCCAGAAAACCGCCGACGGCATGGGACCTGAGTGCAGGTGTGTATGCAGCAAGGTCCCTCGTGCTCGAGTACTCGAACGATGCCTGGCACAGTTTCCAACACTTTCCGCAGGCAATGGTTGGCGTACCAGTGTTTGTGATCGTGTTTTGGTGTATGAGCGGTACAGTAGGTAAATAACCGTTTTTGGCTATGAACACAGCCACCATCTGCTTTGCCACACCGCACTCTAGTCGGAATTTCTGAGGCAGCGCACCATTAATCGGCGTCCACTAGACGGACTGATGCTAGGTCTCTGGCTTGGAACTGTACATTCAGGTCTCATCACCACTGATGATCTCCCAAACCTGGCAAGCATGGTGCGGCACCAATTCACCCGAACTATTTGCGTGCCCACGCCTTTCTGAAGCCGAACTTCACATGTAGGATAATGCAGATTGATCCCGATGGCGTTCAACAGCCGTGTCACTGTCGCCCATGCGTCCCCGTTCACTTGCTCAACAGGAATGTTGTCCTTTGTAGCGGCTTCAACAGATCAATCACACAGTGCCTCCTCATCCGGGGATCACCTTTCACGCTTGAATTCCGCAGACCACTCATATACAGAGCTTCTTGGAGGTGCGTCCTCAACAAAAGCCGCTCGCGAACGGTTAACACTCTGATGATGTTTTAAACCACAGTTGTAGTCGTAGAAAATTATCGCCGTCCACAGTGACATCGACTGACTTCCATCCTTACGGTCCGAGTATAGCGACCGTTACGACTTGTGAATCGTGGTCTCGACTGCTAATATTTGGTTCTGTGAGTTGCAGTAACTGAACAATATCCCCAGTAGATTACAATTCACGTTTTCCTTTCTCGGTCATCTGCAGCTCGCACTCATGTGTACTGCGCATCCGGAAACTAGTATGTACGCGCACCCCTT